CGACGTACGTACGAGGAAGGTAGCATCAAGCAAGAGCTCCCACGAGCCCCACCGAACCAGTTAATACCATGTAAGACACCCCCCGCCCAGTGTGCCCAGCACTCAGCCCTCAGCCTAAACTTACTAGGAAATTGAAAAGGAGATCAGGACGGCGTGGTTCCTGCCCTTTGCAAGCTCACTGGTGGGGCAAGACCAGCACAGGTGACATGATTAACAGACCAAGGCACACCAGCAAGAATTCAAGAGTCAAGCAAGTGATATCAACTCCTGTGACAGGAGATCAGACAAGAGGCCTAAGGCTGGGAGGTTTCCGGGAAGAGGCAGCAGTAGACTGAGGCCTTAGCTTGTGTTTTCTTTGGTTTCGAACAGCTATTCATGAGTTTCCTGTTGGCTGCAGCAACTCAACAGGCTAAAAAGCAGTGAGCTTAAAGAAGTCCAACTCGGGAAGACAAAGGATAAAGACGAGGAAAATGACACTGAGCTTTGAACTCAGCCACAGTGGATGAGGAAAGTGAAAGCGCCTTGCAAAACAATTAGGAGCTCAAGCTGCACTTTTCCTGAGCTTCTGAGCTCCGCCGGGCTGTTACTGCTGCTGCTCCCGCTAACAACAACAAAAAACACAAGAACTCGAAGTCTCTTACTTCCACATCCTCAGCTATTCCCAAAAGCTGCCTGATTCCTGGAAAACGGCCTTTGTTTATTTTTATGTGAGCAAGCATGTCCCAAGCCAAAGGATGAAAAGTGTTGTGCCTGCTTCCAGGGAGACAAAGGTGACCCAGATGGAGTCCCTTGCATTTCCAAGGGCCCGTGCCTGGTGGGGGTGGGGAGTGTGCGGTGCATACACGGGGTGGAACAGAAGTGATTCAGGGATATCTCCCTGGACCAGGAATGCACTGAAGAAAGAGGCAAACTCTGGGGTTATTGGGGGAAAAATTTATAAGCTGGTCATTGAAAATGAATAGGAGTTTGTAGGAAAGAAACAGGCATTTCAGGAAAAGGGAATGAGATGCTCAGAAGACTCAGATGCTGAAAGCACACAGGGTGCCTGAGAAACCACAAGGAGCTCTAAATATCGGGGCACCCGGAGTGTGAAGGCAGGATGAGCGGGCCTCAAAGGGGAGAAGGTGAGCTCTGTGGCCAGAACTGCAGAATTAGATCATGCAGACAGATCTTAAGGGCTTTATTTGCTTTGCTAAGAGGTTAGTGCCTTATGCAGGGCCTCTAGGAAATGCAGTAGAAAAGCCGTAATACTTTCCTTCAAGCAGGCTAGAGATAGAGTAACTGCGAACAGCGGGGAGGACAATGGAAGGGGCCGAGGGGACCAGGGGACCGGGAGGGGAGGGAGGGGGGCCAGTCAGATGACTGCATTAGCACAGTGAGAAAGACGAGGGTGTGGCCTAATCAGAGCGGCTAGGGCCATGTGGGGCACTGCACCGCTACCACCTCCAGTTCTCCCACACACCTTGCAAGTGCACAGCGTGGGGATGGGCCCTGGAGGCTGGATTGCAACCTAACTCAGTCACATCCACCCTTAGCAGTGGCACTGGGGCTCAAGTCCAAGTGTGAACAAGTCCAGGTACTTGCTGTCTGTCAACCATCCCGGGGAAGTCAGGGAGGTTGACCATGGCCTCTGCTTCCTGTTCTGCCACACTTTGCAAGGTAGGGAGGGGATGCGGAGGAGGGGGTTGGACTTGAGACATGACAGGTAGTGGCAATGGAACTTGGTGATGATTCCATCAGATGTAGAAACTATAAGAGAAGATGCTGGCGGAGAGATGTGGAATGCCATCAGACCTGCAGGTCTGAGGACACTGCAGTCAACTGGGCAGCTGTGGTCCCTGCTGCTGGGAAGCTGATGGGCCTGGCAGATGGGAGAGATGGGCAGGTAGGGAGCGCTGTGAAAGCAGACCCCTCCTTTCCCTCTGAAACAGCGAGCTGGGTGAAGGGTGAGCACCAGGGTTGAAGAAACGCAGGACCGGAACCGGAGGGAGTCGTGAAGCCAGGAGGTCATCTCCCTTCCTCTCTGGAGCCACGTCATCCTTCAGGGTCTCTCCAGGTCCCTCTCCACAAAGCCGCCCATGGCCAGCGGCACCCAGCTGTCTGGCCAGCTCTGCCTCCCTAGATTCCTCACTGTCAAAGTCAGTAGCTCGAGGTCATCTCAGTTTGTGCCGGGTCCACGTTCCGGGCTAGGCACGAGCCCTTACTGGTCAAGGGCCAGCCTCTGTAGGTCTGGGCTGTGACCAGGCGCTACGCGCAGCAGCAGGAATGGTGATGGTCCTGTGATCACACCCTCTGGGCCCCAGCTACAGGAGGCCCCGCTACCCGAAAGTAGGGCGTTCCTATGAAAACTCTTATAAGCCGAAAAGACAGAAGTGAAACAGCAATCATCCTTTTTTTTTTTTTAAAGAATGAAAACCCTGTTTGGATGGATTTCTTTCAGTTAGAGAAAGCAGGTTTTAGCGTAGGTCTTCCATCAAGAGGACACGGTGTAAAGTGAACTTTGGAAAAGCAGGGGAAACCGAGAGCTAGGGACCTCGGAAAATAACAATCAGGAAAAGCAAGGCCCCAGCCTGCGCCAACCCCGGTGACATTTTTCAGCCCTCAGAGCCGGGAGGGCCGGGCCGCCCCTGGGAGGAATGTGGCCATTTCATTGAGGCTCTGGAAGGACTCAGTCTTCCCCCACCTCCCAGCACCCCCCCCCTCATTTTGGTCTCTTCCTCGTCCTCCAGTGGAGGGAGGGAAAAATAATGTGCTGTTCATTGTGGAAACTATAGGCCCTTGTGCCGGCTTTCCATCCCGGCTCTGTTAAAGTTCAGAGTTGTCTGCTCACGGCCTGACAAATCTCAATAAGATTCTTGTTCGGGCCTTCCAAGGCCCACGCAGAGCTGGACGCTTCAACTGCTCGATTCACTGCCCTCGGCCCTGGGCCACGGCCGAGCTCTGCCTCCAGGTGACCTCCTCCCCCGGTTTTTCTCCTCTCGAGGCAGCCCTGTGTTTTGGTCACTAGGTTCCCAAACATAAATG